AGATAGGAAAGAGCTTAGAAGGAATGAGTTTAAACTATGGTGGCCACCTATCTATGATTTTAATATCCTACAAATTACATCGACAACTAAATATAGTAGGGCCAAGCAATTGTCCTGTGAGATAAGAATAGTTTACTTAACTTTTGTATACAGCTCTTTTAAATAATTCCAGAACTGTTCATGGATTTCTGTGCACTTCTATTCATAGCTATGTTTTTTACTGTTATTAAAAACACTTAAAAATATTCTCAAGCTAAAGGTTAAACTAACGAATACTTACTTGAACTGTAAAAGTTTACTATCCAAGCAAGTTTTCTGTATTAGAAACAAAATTTTCTTTCAAAAAATTGAGATTAATTAACACCCCAAAAACATCATATAGTTTCTTGCTTTGTTTCCCCCTATCAGAGAACACTTGCCTCCCCAAGTTAAACGTTAAAAAACCTACACAATCCAATAGAATGATAACAGCGAATGAGAAGGTCTACTACCATGTAAATACCATACAAATAAAGAAACTAGAATTCTCTAGGAAAGAAAAAAATAATGTGTACATACAAGTGGTGAATCAGTAGAACAAGGAAAGTATATTCTCCCTAAAATGCACCAATATTAGAAAAGTTTACATTGAGAAGAGAAGGGAACACCGGTGTGCAATGGGAAATGAGGGGACAAAATCTGCTTCCATTTGAAGGGAGAAAGAAAAATAACATGAACGTTTATCTATTTATATAACCTTAGTTATCCGAAGTACACATTTAACTACGCAGGAGTTTAAAATTACTTAAAGTAATACTGTGTTCTCCAAATAGTTGGAAATGGACCTCTCTTTGGTTACGTGGAAAAAGTATTTTTCAAGCGAAGTTTATACTTCAAGAGTAATTGTATGTAAATTAGGAGAAAAGTATAGACATACTTGAGTTAGTGACATATCCCCATATAATGCAAGAGCAAGTGTCCTTGGAATAGGAGTGGCAGACATGGCAAGAACATGAGGGGCCATAGAGAAATCTCCACTTGAGTTTCCATCGGAGTTCTCAGCTGCAATTTTCGAACTTAAGGAGTTGTTGAATAGCTACAGTCAAGAGTGATAATGTACCATTACTTTTAGGATGGCAAGACTAAGATCAAAAATAGGAATTTCCAGTAGACAGTAGGAGACATAAAAAGTTCACCCCAAACATAAATTAAAGTACCAACTAATAGACTCTTCTTTTAATTAATATAAACTTCTTTTATTAATAGTGAGAGATTAAACGAGAGGAAGGGGAGATCAAATATCAACCCCAACCAACTCAATGGAGAGTACAAAAACCCTCTCCAATTGGCAATAAACATAGAGTGAGAGTAACTAAAAGAAACATCTGGTTGGAGGCATTAAAATAAATAAATATCTCTTAATTCCTTAAAATAAATAAAGAACTTTAGCTCCGTCTTTGTAAGGATGGCTTGCAAAAAATTGATGGACAAAATCTTCTAGTCACCTAGAAAATATTGTCTGAAAACTGAAGCAATTCAAATAGTCTTTTTAAATAGAGCGAGAACTTCTCTCTAAGAGAACTCAAAAAGAAGAAAAATAATTTAAATAGAGGAAAATAAAGTGAGAACAAAAATGCAGGGAACTGTCAAAATACAGGGACTATGTCCCTCAGAAAATTTCTAACAAAAGTGTGATTTCTTGAACACCCAATTAAAAAATTTATCCCATTTGCAGGAAAAGAAACTATATTATCTCCACTCTTAAGGGTAAAGAAATCACAAAAAAATTCCTTGACACAAGTAAAATGATAATTGCCCCATAAATTAAATGAAAGTGCCCACTACTATTGCAATTGGAGAAAAAAGTTAACTGATAAAATGTCTGATTTTTCCAGAAAATGCAGAACTATGTTACTACAGCCTACAGATGAAGCCACCACCTTACTGCTGAACTTTCCTCTCTGAACTACACCAAAACGATGCTGCTCATCCACAACTGCAATGCGCAAAGCAGAGAACTCCACTTTTTCTGATATTAAACTGTGAGTTCCAACAACTAAAGAAGTCTCTCCAGTTTGGAGGCTCTGAAATGCAAATTTCAATTTCAGGAGTGTAGCATGAGAAAGAAATTAAATAACAATTAGATGATAGTGCAGACCTGACGAATCATCCGTGATTGTTTTGATGGGGTAGAACCTGTCAGTAAAGCAACAGAAGGTTTATTCTCGATCCCTTCCATGTTCTCTAACAAACCAAGCAAATGCTCATAATGCTGAATAGCAAGCAACTCGGTTGGAACCATGAAAGCTGCCTACAGATATTCAAACAAGGAATCTCAGATTGTCATAGTATTTCTATTTAATGATTTAGAACATTACATGTTGGCGTCCATACTCCATATTGGTAAAGATTGACAAACCTAAAAAGAGAAAAGTCTATTTTCAAATTATAAAATAACTGATATTTGTTGATGACATCAAACAATCTATTAAAATATCCCAAAATATCCAGAAGGTAACCTGATATCCAATGCCTATAACTTCCATACATGCCAGAAAAGCAACCACTGTCTTCCCACATCCTACGTCACCCTGGAAAGGACGAAAATAAATATCAAATATACATTATTTATTTTCATGGTGTCCATATAACTGATTAAATGCTTGAAAAGTAAATTTTACTGATACATGCAAGAAAACACAGGAGCACATGAACAAATAGTCAATACCCATAAAATACATACAATATTAGAGGAAAATGCTATCTCCCAAATCACCCTTCCCATTCTATGACCAGCATGAACAAGTTGGGATTCGGGAATATGTTGCAGTATATAGAAAGCTAATACAACAAGAAAAAGTGTCTGCCAGCTTTGTCCGAGTCTCATTCAACATTGTTGAGATTTGACTAATGACTTTGTCTTTTACAGTGGGAAAAATACTTCGTAGCTCTTGAAATTTCAAGCTAATTGCTTCATTTAGTGACGCAAGTTACAACTTCATATCTACAGCAAGCATCAGGATTTACCTTACTTGTTGCATGTCTTTTGTAATTGTTATTTCTTCTGTAAAGTGCATATTTTGCCTCCTTAATATAGGTATTGGGAGCTTTAGTAGTTCTGTAATTTTCCAAACTTTTAAATAGCCTTCCAACCAAACTTGCAAATAAAATTAGCCTCTACTTTATATTTGCACATGAGGCTTTATCAGCCTGGTAGATTCAGCAGAGAAGATCCTTTAACCAAACTCCTTAATTACTCCAATATTGAATGCCAATCATCATGGAAATGCATTCAAGTTATCACTATAGTAATATCCAACATATAACTGAAAAATCTAACTCCTTTTGTGGTTCTGTCACATTCTCCCCTGCCATATTTAAACTTTCATTTTTACAAAAATTTCCTGTTCATTCCCTACGCTTCTACTTTTCCTTTATACACTTCTTTCTCCTCCTTCCATGACTATGGGGTACTTCAAATTTTCCTACCTTTTCTTGAAAAACCTCATACATTTCTTGAAAAACTTCCCATTCTTTCTTATTCTCTCTCGCAGGAACAAAAATGCAGCTCCTCGCCCCTTAAACCCCTTCCTTTGCACATAGATAACAAAAGAGAAAGAGATATCATTTTAACCTTAATCCCCCCCACCCAATGGAACCATATTTCCAATAATACAATGATTGCACGCAATTGTAAAACAAAACTCTCTTAATTTTCAATGATGCAAAGGCACGAATGACAGCTAGAGAGATCCATTGTGAAGCATGAGTAGATGTGAGAAATTTTTAAATATGACAGTATAACAAGGCAAAAGATGAGAGTGAAAAAAAACCTGTAAGAGCCTATTCATAGGGATTGGTCGCTTCAAATCCCATATAATTTCTGCAACAGCTTTCATCTGACTCTCTGTAAGGGAATATGGAAGAGCCTTAAGAAAATTTTGGGTGAGACAAGACCATTCCTTCGTATATGCAGCACTAAAATTAGGTTGACGATACTTGTCCAGCAAACCATCTTTCTCTATTGTTGTACCAAGACCTTCAAGCATTTGGAACAAGCGCGCCAACTGTTAAATCATAATATGTAGTCTACTATTAAGTCCAAAGTGAACAAAAATTAAATCAAATTGTAAACAAATACATCACCATTAAACTTATAAAACTGTTGACAATATGTTTTCCTTTCTTTTCTTTGGTAATCATTTTTTCCTTTCATTTTTTTTTTCTTGATTGAACTGTAGTAGTCTCTATTCCAAGATAAGAAATTTTACTATTTTAACTAGTGGGTACTATTGTACCAACTTCATTACAGCCAGAACATAATCATCTTTTTCATTCAACTCTTCCATCACACTCAACTGGATGAAGAAAAACAAAGGTAGAGTGAATGTGAAGTTAGTAACTTCACCTGCAGGTAAAAAAACTCATCAAATATAAAACGTTTGCGAGCCAAATCAGCTTCCTTTATACTCTTTGGCTGATGAATCCCATTATATGCCTGCTTTATAAGAAATCATTAAAGATAGATCAATAAATAAAGTTAAGAATGATGGTACTTTTTCTTTACAATGCACAGTAATGCAAGTGATGGTGAGAATAAATATTATACAATCAAAAATATTCTTTAGACCACACAAATGTTTGTAGATTCTACAAAAACACATTCTAGTTTGTCAAGAGATCATTGAGACTATAATTGGTAAAGGGGGGTAAAAACATTTACACCAACCAAAAGCTATAACCAAAACATTTTCAAAGAAACTATTGAAGGAGGGAGAGGTGTTGTTGAATATCCTATTGGTTATTTCCACCAAATTTTCCATAGGAAAGCTCTAATTAGTTAGACCCATAGGATTCCAGCTTCCTTCCTGAAAGGATAAATCCACCAAGAGCACTTGAAGAGAAACCTTGGTAGTGAAGGATAGTTTGCCAGCCAGAAGTTGTTCCAAAATTCAGCAGCAAAGTCACAAGTAATAAATAAGTGCCCTGTGTTTCAGCATCATTTAAACAAAGATGGCAGCAATTTGGAGAGATGCTTAGGAAAGGTTACTTCCTTTGAACCAAATCATGTGTGTCGATGGAGCAGTGCCTGAATTGAATTCCCAGCAGAAGAATTTGATTTGTTTCCGATATTTGTCCCTCCATATTCAGTCAGTAGCAAATTGAGCTGATTTTCCAGAAATGGTAAGAGTCTACAAAAATGGATCAATTTGAACTGTAACTAGGCTAAACTTAGATAGCGATAGAGGGAGGGTAACTTCAGCAGGAATGAAGCCAAGATAGTTATAATTAATCTTGATTTTGACCTACACTAGATCCGGGCATCTAATAGATCTTTTGGCAATTTCTTCCCATCCTCCATGTGTCACCAACTTGACCACATCTCAAATAGGAGGTTCCTTATCTTTATCCTGCCGTCATAAATAGGGTTTCACCATGCCCCATCTTGCTATAAGCACCAAAGGCATGCCTAGTATAAGTTTTCACAAGGAAGAATAGCTTTATTGGGTTGGATAGGGAATCATAAATGTTCTCATGGATGGGCTTCTGCAAATCAGAAACCAAGCATCAGGGAAGCTTTCCTCTAAATCAATGCTCTCAAGCTCAAGAAGAGAATATTTGGAGAATACGATGCCAGATGCAGTTTCATTGATCCCACAGGAGCCCTATAATCACAGGAGTTCTATAATCTGATAGACCCCAGTCATTAAGCAATATGTAAGGAGGAAGGGCAAGAAGGCTAGAGATGAGACTCTGGTGGGCCGGAGTTAGTTAGAGAGTAATTTGGTCACTTACAAGGGTATAGGGTGGTTATATGAGCTGCTGTAATAGGGGGGTGAGGTATCTTTTTGGCTGAGTGTTCATGGTGAGGAATTGTAGGAGAGACTAGGGAGCTCTTGACTTCTCCCTCAACCTGTAAATTCCCCCCTTATACATAAATAATAGAGCAGAACTCTATCAATTTGGTATCAGAGCGGTGAATCCCGAGTATGGTAACTAGGATGGAGTCGAGGGTTGAAGCCGTAGAACAGCAACTATCAGGTGTTGCTTCAGCCGTTGAGGACAGCAAGGAATCGTGGAAAAAAGAAATGGCACTCTTCAAGGAAGAGATGCACTTATGGATGACGGCAATATCACAGAGGATGGGAATCGAAAACAAAGATCGCGAGGCTAAGGGAAAAGGACCGGAAAAGGAGTTAGACTTGGGGGAGAAGACTCCGACGAGTCTGGCTACTTCATGTGAGGGGTCCAATCAACTTCAGAATGCGCTAGCTCCCGTGTTTGATCTTCGTTTGAGGAAATTGGAAGTGCCCATTTTCGATGGTGAAGACCCGGATGGATGGCTGCATCGGGTTGCTCGTTATTTTGTGATTAATCGGTTAACAGACAAAGAGAAATTAGAGGCGGCCGTTCTATGTTTGGACGGTGAGACCTTGAATTGGCATCAATGGGAAGAACAGCAACAACCCAGGAGGAGTTTAACTCTTCTGCTTCAGCGTTTTCGGCCAACAATGGAAGGGTCTCTCTGTGATCGTTTTATGGCAGTGCGGCAAGAGTCGACGGTCAGGGACTACCAGCGTAGGTTCGAAGAGGCTGGGGGACCGGTGAACGGAATTCCGACATTCGTGCTGGAGAGTTTATTCCTCAATGAGTTAAGGGAAGAGATTGGAAAAAAGTTAGGGTTACGAAGCCCAAAGGGCTCAAGGAAATAATGGTGATGGCCCAGTTAATAGAGGATAAAAACGGGACTGGCCCGACCCAAGGTGAAAAAAGTGGAGTGGGAACCAAATCAACGGGCTCCTCCTCTGGGTCGGCCCGAACCGTCTCTTTTAACACCACACGTAACCCTCCAACCCGGAACGCTGAGACGACCGCCAAGGGGACTGAACCACCAACGACTCCAAGTCAATTCCGACGGTTGACGGACGCTGAACTAAAATTGAAGCAGGAAAAAGGGCTATGCTATCGCTGCGATGAGAAATTCATGCCTGGCCACCATTGTAAAAAGAAGGAGTTGCACGTCCTCGTGGTGCAAGATCCCGACGCAGGTGGCGACGAATTCCAGGATGTCGTCGAGACCATCACCGATGAACC